ATCGAACCCAGGGCCTCGAGCATGCAAGGCAAGCGCTCTACCACTGAGCCACCTTCCCAGCCCTATTTTTTTATTTTTAGTGCCAGTCTTAGGCTACAACTCAGGTCCTGGGTGTTGTTCCTGAGGGGGTTTTTTGTTTGTTTTTGGTTTGGGGGTTTTATTTTATTTTATTTTGGTTTGGTTTGCTTGGGGTTTTTTTTGTTTGTTTTGTTTTGTGTGTTGTTGTTGTTGTTGTTTTTGCTCACAGCTTGTGCTCTATGACTTGAACCACAGCACCACTTTGGGGTTTTTTGGGGTGTTTAATAGGGCTGGCTTTAAACCACGATCCTCAGATCTCAGCTTCCTGAGTAGCTAGGATTACAGGCGTGAACCACCAGTACCAGGCCCAAGGCAACTTATTTTGAACCCAACAGAGCTATAATATCTTGTGAATATCTAGATAACTATGGGTAACTATCTTGTGGATAACTCACTAATTCTACTTGTCCTTTTTCTAGCTGCTGCAAAAAGTTGGTCCTATAGTTGTGAGATCATTAAGTTTTCACTCAACCCAATACATCATTTTATATTAACTTTCTTTTCTTTTCTTTTTAGCCAGACAGGGTTCTTAATTGAAACTGGCTGATTTAGTGTATTAAGGAAAGAAATCAATTTAAAGGATATTGGATAGCATCGTGTAGAATCAGAAATCTGTAGAAAGATTTAAAGGGAGAGCAAATGGTTAGGAAACCATGGCTATAATTGCACAAGGTTTGAGTATGTTCCTTCACGTTCCACCTGATGGACGCCTGGCCCCCAGTATGAGGTGTAGCTTTTAATAGAAGGAACCTTCTGGAAGGTCATTAGGTCATGAGGTATTGCCTCAGAAGAATGCATGCTCTTCACATAAAGTGAGTTCCTTCTCAGACACCTTAAAGACACGTACACATTTGGGTGACTAAGCAGCAACAAAAGAAAGAAGGGAGATCTTTATGAGAGGATGGTAGAGCAATTTCCAGGAGCAAATTTATGGGGTGGGAAAAGAAAAGCAGAGAGCAAAAGGGTGTACATAGATTACTGCCTTTGGAGTTACAAGAAGGGGGCAGGGAGCAAAAGGAAAGATCTATGTAGGTATGCTAATCTTTAAAAAAAAAAAACCACAAAGATAAGCCAGGGAGCAAGGAGGCTGGTTATCTATGGAGGGTGGAGGGAGAGGGTGTCAGAAAGCAGAGGAGAACCATCCTCTGTGTAATATTTACTTCTAGAAGCATAGTGATGTCTCCATGTTAAAATGGAATTAAACCATCACAGACAAGGCGGGGAGAGTGGAATATCCCTGGTCCAATCTCTCAGTTTCCACTGGGAAACAAAACTTGGGGGCCCTTTCATGTGAAGTTCTTTTGTTGCTGCTTAGTCACCCAAATGTGTACGTGCCAATGTGTATTCTCACTCCATTTTTAATGCTTGCAAACTAATTCAATATTTAAAATAGAATAAATCATACCAGTGGATTGTAAGTTTCTGGTCA